ACTTAGAATAATAATATTATTAATAAAGAAAATAATATATATTAACTTCTTTTTATTAAAAAAAAGGTATAATTCTTCTTTATATTATATAAGCTTTAGCTTTATTAATATACTAGTAAATTCTAAATATTAGAGAAGTAGTAAGTTTTATAACCTATAAAATATTTAATTTAGTAAGATATTATAGTCTACTTCTTTAAAATCTACTAGTAAATTTATTATTTTTTAGAATCCTAATAGTAGCCTATATAAGACTTTATTTAATAAGTCCTATTTACTAATATATAAAAAGGTATTTTTAATATTAAACTATTAAGAATTAAGGTTATATTTTATTATAAGTATTATTATTATTTAGAATATCTATATTACTAATATAGTTATATATATTTCTTTTTAACTATTAATTAGTTATAAATCCTTTTATATATAGATTTATACTTTATATTTAATTAGGACTTTATTAGTATTAAATTTATATATAAATACCTATTTAAAAGGTAGAATATATCCCTTTTTAATATTTCTATATATATAGATTTAAGTCTTTATTTTATTAAAAGCCTATATTTTATTAAGACTTACTTTTTTAAATTAGGTCTTAAAAGTATACCTTTTAATCTTATTCTACCTTTAAGGTAGGGGTAATAAATTATTAGTATAATATAACTACTTATCTTTTTTAATATTCTAAGTCTAATTATTATCTAATTATCTATTTTAAAATATATATTTTAATACTATAAATAATATCTATAATTCTTTATTACTATATTTTTTTAGGTTAATATAGTAAAGATTAGCTATATACTCTTTCTTTTTAGTAATAATCTCTAGTAATTAGAGTATAGTAAAGGCTAATTTTATTCTTTTCTATACTAGCTTTTAGCTATCTTTAATCTTCCTTTTAATCCTTTTACTTCTATAAATAGTCTTTTTAAGAATAAAGATTAAGCTTTCTATAGTTACTTTCTAAATTTCTAGTTATAATTTAAAGTCTTTTATAACTATATCCTATAAATATAAATTATAATCCTTCTTAATAGGCTCTTCTTAAGTTACTAGCTTATCTTTATTAAGTAGGTATAGACTTATTTCTTTATCTTAAGTAATAAAAGGCTAAATTCTTATTTTCTAGGTATTTTTTATATATAAATCTTATAACTCTAGTCTTATTTAAAGACTAAATAAATATATATATATTTAGTTATTTTCTCTTACCTTTAAAGCTAAATTATTAATATCTTTTTTTTAGCTTATATCTTTAGATAATTCTAATATATCTTTAAGTAAGAGTATATTATCTATCCTATTACTTATTATTATCTCTATATTATTATTATTTTTAGTTTCTACCTTTAATATTAAAAATAGTATATTACTTTTTAAAGTTCTAATATTATTTAGGTTTACTTTTTAAGTTTATATAATATATTTATTAGATATTATAATATCTTATATCTTATAACTACTTTATTTAGATTTATTTAAATCTTATAACTTATTTTAAGGATTTAGGTTAAGAATAGTATTTTATAAAGTTATTAAGAGAAAATATTTAAGTCTAAATTCTATAGTTAGATTTTAACTTTCTACTTTTATTAAAGACTTTATCTTCTTTTTTAATTCTAATTTAATAATCTTATCTTTATTTTCTATTTTTAAAGAATAGAATATATTTTTATTAAATTTAATATTCCTTATTATAATAATATAGTTAAGTTAAGGTATTTATATTTAATATAGGTTTAATATTATATAATTAACTAAATAACTAATATATTCTTTAAGATATATTTTAAAGTTCTTTTTATTAACTTCTTTTTCTTATTTTTAATTAAAAAGGTATATTTAGTATTTATATATATACTACCTTTTTATATTAATCTTTTTACTAATTATATACTTAATACCTTATCTACTCTCTTTAAATTATAAATTTATTTTTTATAATAATAATTTATATCTATATACTTTCTTTAGGCTATTTTTAAGTAAAAAGGTAGCTATTTTTATTATTTTAAACTATAAGATTATAAATAGTTCTAAAAATATTATTAAAATAAGTATTTTCTTAATAACTATCCTTTTAAACCTTTTATTTAACTTATTTAGTTTATAAATATATACTAATATAGCTTTAATCTTAATTCTTAATTCTTTTACTTATTTTTAATATTTTATAAAAATATCTTTATAGATTATAGCCTTTTTATTATTATATTTTATAATAAAAACTTTAAGGTTAAATTACCTTTTAATCTATATTATAAAGTTTTTAATTATAAAGAAAAAGGTTTTAATATTTTTAAAAATAGTTAAAATAGAATAAATTAAACTAGTATATTTATCTTATATTATAAAAAGAAAGTTTATTCTATTATAACTTAAAAGGTATTCTTATAAATCCTACCTAATTTTCTTAAAAGGTTAAATAATAAATATATTATTAGTTTCTTTATTAATAATATTTTCTATTAAAGTAGTATTATATACTTTATAATCTAGGTATTATATTCTAGTAATTTAGTTATTAATTAATTCTTTAATTAGAGTTTTAAGTAATTCTTTTTTAAGGTATTTTAATTATAAATACTATAAATAACTATCCCCTTTTTTAAAAAGGGATATTCTTTTTAATATATAATTAAAATAAGATTTAAAGGTATTTAAGACTATTTTTTAAGATATTAGCTTCTTTAATTATTAAATTAGTTTATATTTAAAGAATAGAATATTATTCTTTTTATATAGTTAAGCTATATAATAATTATTTTTAAGTATACCTTCTTTTAAAGTATTATTATAATTATTAATCTAGAGCCTAGTTTTAGCTTTTAGGATACTAGCTAAGATTAAATTTATATAGAAGCTAAGAATATAATAAATATTTATTAAATAAAGGTTAATTCTTAGCCTATTAAGGGTAGTTAAGATATATTTTATAATTCTTATTTTTATATTAATAATAATAGATTAGTAATCTTTAGCCTTAATTAAGATATTTTATAACTCTTTATAAGAATTTAGTTTAAAAAGGCTTTTATTATTTATAATATAATATAAGCTATAATTATTTAAAAGTATACTTTTATAATATAGATAGTAGTTTCTATAGATAGTAAAGAATATATTCTTTATAGGTTTAAAAGTACTTTTAAATAGAATATATATATTATATTTTTTCTATAATTACTTTCTTTTACTTATAAATACTTTAAAAGTAGTTTATTTAGGTTTATTTATAATTTCTTTAATTTTCTTAGTTTAGAATTTATTTATAGTTATATCTAGTTTAGAAGAACCTAGGTATACCTTTTAAATAATATAGTATTCTTCTAACTTTTATAAATAAGTCTAATCTTTTTTTTAATAAAGGTAGTTATATTCTTATTTTTTAGATTTTTTTCTTTATTTATTATTTAATATAGGGAAAGTATTCTTAATTAACTTTTTATACTTTAATTCTTTTATATTTTCTTTAAATATATCTATAATAGTTTATAAAGTCTAATTTAATATTAAATTACTTTTTAATAAAGTATTTATATTAATAAAATCCCTTTTTAAAAATATAGCTTATTTAAATATTATTTTCTTTTTAATTATATTTAAGAAATTAATAATAACTATTAATCCTTTTATATTAAGAATTTAGTAAAGTAATACTATTTAATATACTTTTTCTTATATTTAGATTTAATTTAGTTTATTTAATATTATCTTTTTAATAGTTATAATTTACTTATACTTTTTTTTTATTTTTTATTTTATTTTTTTAAAATTTAAAGTAATAATAACCTTTAATTCTTTAAGAATATCTTTAAAAGTATATTAATTATAAATAGCTTTTAATTCTATTACCTTTATTTTAATAGTTCTTTAAACTTTTAAAAAAAGCTTAAAGTTTATAATAATATTAACCTAAACCTAGACTAGATTAATATTTTTTTATCTCTTTTTAATTATAATTATTATTTCTTTTTAAAAATCTATTATTTTTTATAAGTAATTTTTAAATCTATATAATTAATATTTAAATATTTATTTTTATATTAAA